TCATTCATAGTTCGTCAGTTTCGCTGAAGTAATTATATCTATAATTAAACTCTCAGTGCTGCTTCACTGATCATCCACTTAATTTAATACGTCGAAGGAGCTCGTGGAGTACGTGGAGATTAAGCAACCTTCTCAAAGGTTGGCCAAAAATGTATTATACTGAGTTCATACGTCATGTTACGTCTTTGGTTCTAGTTGGATCCGCCGTTGTTGACATCCACCAATTAGCACGTGGCCCGCCTTATTAGGTAATATAGCCCGTTTACAATATACTTTACATTTACGTTTACAATAATTACAGTATAGCAAGTCATATTATATACACAATATTTGTGTTAAAAAAGCAGCTGTGTAAAAACTTGACTTAAAAGATTTCGGTTAAAATTATTTAAAATATCATTAATCTAATTTTATGCTTTGAACACTAATCATCCGCATGTGCAGTAGAAATTTGAATAAAAAAATTCAATTTAAATGACATCTCTAACAAACCCTTTTTTCTCATAGTATTTATGCAAAGGCATATCACCAAAGAGAACAATATTAAAGAGTTTCACACCAAAAGAATTATTTGCAATAATTAATCAAAAAATATACAAGTACTCGATTTATTTACCTAATCCGTCATACTTAGCATATCTTTAAGATTATGTGATAATTATGAATGAATGTGCACCTTATACTTATATACTTAGATATCACATTAAAGTTTAACTTACTTGGAATAATAACAAGCGATTTTCACCCTTATTTCTACTATCGTTCGCAATCACAAAAATAAGATCGGAATTGAATTTGCATACTTTTACAACGCCGCGGGCGTCAAAAATTGCATTGAATCGAGTGTTCTGTGAACGTGTATGACAATTTTTTTCTTTATCATTTTATACTGTAAATTGACCTTTATTTTTTAAATGTTAAGGGTAGATGTTATTGTAATAATAAAGTTGCATGCCCTAGTAATGATGCGTGTGGAATATCTAAACAGGTTTTATCTATTTAGTATACGATGCGCGATCTCTTTTCTTTCGTTTGTCTGTTAATGATCTGTCTATGGTCTATGTCTATGGGACTCATATGCAAATGGAGACGTGGGAAATATACTTGGCGCGTAAATATTTTATTAATGGCGATATTAAGTTATTTTTTTTATTTTGTTTCTTTACGTGTAAAGGTGACCAACGTGATATTAGCGTAATTTTGTAAACTCAAGCAAATAGGCCATAAGTAAAAAAAAATTACTTATGGCCTATTTAAAATAAACCTGTTTGGATTTTAAAGTTTATGTATTATTTCGAAAAAATATATATGTACGCAAAGGGAAATTAGTAACATTCAACAGCGTAAACACGAATTGCCATAAATTAAAAATATGGAAATAGATGGTCATCATCACAGAAATCAATATAAAAATGTATTTCTGTGGTGATAATTGTGTTGACAAATAGTTTAATATTATCCAACTAATTAAAATTGAGTATTTTTAGTTTACGAGTAGTCTACTCGTTAGCTTTAGTTTACCTCAGTAGTGGTATAACGAAATTATCCCCAAAATTTCTATTGCGGAGACTAATATGCCCCTAATTAAATTAGCAAATTTGTTGTATTGTAATTACGTAAAAATAAAAGTGAAAAAAAAACAAAAGCATACTGCAAGGATTATCAATGAGACATAGGCAGATTATAAGAATTGGAAAGCCATTATTTTTAATACAATCGTATACTTAATTGTTTATCAATTTTATACTCTAATATTTAAGAAAAAAATTAATAAACGAAATTTTTGAGGAGTTACTTTTATAATTTCGCTGTAAATAAAATTTTATATGTTTCATTTACATTAAATTAAATGTGAGTATGATATCGTTAGTACAAAGGTTGGTTATTCTAAGTTAGTGGTCTCTACCTTAGGGATAATTATTTACTCCCAAAGGTTGACTGGCAGAGAATGCTATTAGCATTAAGTCCGCCTTTTGTACCATCTTTATTGGTCAATAAAGTTCAATAAATAAATAAATAACTGCGTTATTTTATGGATAACTTAATAATTTTTTAATACCTTTCTGTATCTATGTTATGTTCAAAGATCGAAATAGCTCATTAAGCAAAAAATAGTTCACGACGCGTTGAAGCAATCGCAGAATAACCACATAACGAAAACCGTGTCGTTGGCTGACATGTTGTGGCGAAGAAAAGCCACGACGCGTTCTGAGCATTAATTGGTTTAACTAGGTTGTTTTATTTTACAATAGCGATTCACTTCTGCTATCGCAGAAATTCGTACTGTTATATATATATATATATATATATATATATATATATATATATATATATAACAGTACGAATTTCTGTAAATGATGCGATATATATATGTCGCATCATCTTTACGAAGATCACTTGATTTAGTTACTTTTTTTTTAAATTGCTAGTTACTCGATTACTTAATTACTCGATTGTAGAGAGAGCGTGAGCATCGATACTTCTAATTTTATTAGAATGGTGACACTGACTTTGACAGTTCGTTAACAAAAGCTAATTGCCGCCATTTTTGGGAAACATTCTGTTTCCGATCGCCGAGGAGTAAAGACATCCGACGACATCACGCCCATCTCATTATATTTTCGTATGAAAAGTGATAAAATGGAACAAATCCACGTTGGTGCACCTGCAGTGTTATTTTAAAGATAGTCCCCTGATATGGACGATCTATTTGGGCTTCGTAATAGCCTTTTCTGACTACCCGCCGACATATATTATGAATGTAAAGATGACGATTGTGACAATAAGCAATCTTCCATTGCATTGGCATTTTAAACTTACGTATTTGTTCGAGCAGTTCTCCCCCAGCCACGATCCAAGACATTCGCCGACATTTAAAATTCATATTCGTAGATTTAATATATATTTTTTTAAAGTGACAATTCGTTTTCCTTATAACAATACGCTCGCTTTGCTCTCTCGGCAAGTGCGTATTTTGTTATACTCTAACCTAACCTAATCTAATAAAATATAGTTAAATACCCTTCATGGTTTTTCTTCATTGCCACAACGTGTTGTTGTATGACAACTACGACATGGATTTCGCTATGTTGTTATTCTATGAATACCACAACGCGTCGTGAGCGTTTCCATAAGAGCCATAAAGGATATTTTACTGTGACCACTTCCAAAAAAATCTTTTGCCTACGGGACACAACATCATACGCGGGTGACATAGACTATAATATACGTGGGCGAAGTAGCGGGAAAATATAATAAAAATAATTAAACAAATATTAAACAACATCACATATACTGCTCATACCCCAAATTATGTAGCTAAAGATTTTGGTTTTCGAAACAACATTTCCCTTATTGATATGACGTTATATAAAAAAACATACACGAATATCTTTACTAAAGATCACAGAACGAACTCGAAGAGTTAACTCATAATTACACACTTAACAAGTAGTTTGAATAGCGCTGTGTGCAAATAATTGGTGTAATTTTAACGCTTAGTTATTTGCATAAAATCTTATCAAATGTTACTTTGAGTTGGCAATTAAGTGCAGACCTGAAGGGAAGGAGTGTTCAACTTCCTCCTTACTAAAAGCGAAATGTTACATTATTATATTAAATACTAGCAGTTTTGATTACCATATGATTTTCTAGTATTTTTTTACGTTCATTAGGTTACGTTTTAGTTCATTAGGGCAGTGTAAGTAGTAGTAAGTAAGCAGCATTTAATTCCGTGATAAAGATTAATTGTGGATATATAAATTAATAACTTTAACTATGAATATAACAAGCGTCATCATCATCAACCTCTTTTACGTTTCCACTACAGGGCTCAGGCCCTCCTTATGGATGGTTAAGTAGTATGAGCCATGAACCTCCACACTAGCCCTATGCGGATAGGAGGGTATTAACGACTGCAAATTCAGCGAGGACCGATGATTAACATGCCATTCGAAGCATGGAGTAGCTCGAGATAATATTTTTGGTCACCCATCCCGTGACTGACTTAATTACTTTACTGTGATAGCGGGCCGCGGCGTTTATCCAATACGCCACCGAGCTACATATAGCAATATCAACCTTATATGATGATTCATAAAGATGCTGTTATAAAAATGATAATGTAGAAATATCTATGCAACGATAATAATCTTCTGAAAAAACCGGTGAATTGCGACACGAAGGATTCCGCACGGGAAAGGAACAAAAAAATCACGTTTTTTATGTAGGGAAGCCCCTTAAATATTTATTTTATTCTGGTTTTTAGTTGTATAATCGGCAAAAGAAATACTTCAACTGCATTACTTTCACAGTTCATGAGATGCAGCCTAGTGACAGACAGACAGACAGCGAAGTATTAGGATAGGGTTCCTGTTTTACCCTTTGGGTATGGAACCCTAAAAACACCGATCAAAGATATTTAGCTAATGAAAAAAGACTGAATTTTAATCTCGTCATTGCCTAGTCAGCTGTTAAACGAATAGTGGAACCATCTACTACGGAGCCCCGGAATTTTCAATAATTGAATTTCACAGCAGTACCTAATGAACACAGTATTGCAGCATCTTTCCGTGATAATATGAGCTAAAACAGATAATGATCAGTAATATTTCTATTCTCATCACTCAGAATGACATTCAAACATATGATATCTATTTAGCTATTTATCTAGTTGATAGTATATTCAAATTAGGTCATAAGGTCTTTCTACAACATAAAAAAAATAATTTTCATAAAATGTTAGTATTGGTTAAAAAGATTTAATTACTATGTAAATAGCAAACTAAAAGTGACGGTGTTCCTTGCTTTCCTTCTTTAATAGTGTGAAGGAACACTCCTTCATACTATTAAAGATAAAACGTCAAGTAGTTATTGTTTTTTTTTTTGTCTAATTAATATTCGTAAAAAAAAGTTTGATTTTTATATCAAGAAAATAAAGTGGTATAGTCACCTAAAAATTAAATTGTTCAAGTGCACATACCGAGTACGCTCATAAAATGTTAGAAAGTTAGCATATAATCCGATGGAAAATAATCTGTGGTTAAATCTAGATTGCCATGACTGCTTGTAACAATATTGTTTGGTCGCTAATATAAAAAAAATATATATATAGTAATTTTCCTAAAGTATCTTGAAATTGCAACAATATTTAACATATAAGTCAAAACAAATGATTTTTAATACTTACATCGACTCCACCGTTGTTCCAGGGCGGCAGGGCATAGTGTGATGGGTCATGGTGTCCACCACCCATATGCTCAGCCATCACCGACATCCAGTGCACCAGACCCTGCGCCCCCCCACCGCCGGATGTGCCTACATACAAGTCAAAACCGTCATAAAATCTTATTTTCAATAGTCGAGCTCACACTCAAAGTACGGGTCATATCGCATTAAGAGTAGTTTCCAATATAGTATATGCCTAGGGCAGGCTATGGACAATAACCCTAGGAATGAGTGTGTGTTAAAGTAAAAGATATGTATGAAATATTGTATTTGTAATGTCGCTTTAAACCATTTTATGTCAATTTCAATGGACGTTTATGCAACTGTGCAACAACAAAAACAAATCTGTTTATTGGAGATTATTTTATTTATTAGTTCCATGTAAGACATTTGTCGTGCTCAATACATTGAAAAATAAATTTAGTGACAGAAACTTGCCACTATTTAAAGTATTGATATTAGTTATTCAGTAGGTACACCATTTCATTCTTTTTCTTCGTTATATTACTAGTTATATTTATTTCATATTATTGTTTTCGCAGTTGCCAAGCTGTCGCTTAAAAATGACAACATAACCCTGATCAAAGGAAAATACAAACAATCACCGCTGTACACGGCTACACGCCAGGCTACCACAATATATCAAAATTCCTCAATTCATTTTTAAACTCAAGTGGAGAAATTCTACAGTTTGTATAGCTTGATGTACTGTTTACTGTACCAACGCTAGCTATCTGATCTATCAGAATGATTCACGTAACAAACCTGAGCGCCAAATGAGATAAAGATGGAAACCTATATAAAATAAAGTTTTCAACTTATACAAACAAAACTAATTTTAAATTATCATCATTATTCCGATCGAAAGCCTTGTCTCCAGAAACAAAGATACACGACACGCCATAATAGTTGACATTTACTTTATCGATTTTTTTTACTTATCGGACCATTAAACGATCCATTTGGCGTTAAATCAATACGTCATCTTGATCAGAACGATGTTAGATTAATCGTTTGTGCTGGTTGGAAATGCATCATTATTTAAATAATTTGATTTTTGTCATCAATTCTCAACTTTGGTCTGATTACGATCCAAATTGATCGTCTAATGATTACGAATAATGGTAAGGCAGTTCTCGATATAATCTATATTTTGCTTTTATAGGAATTAAACTGAATTTCAATTGTAAAAGTATGCTTACCAGTGGGCACGGCAGCAGGCTGAGCTGCGGGTTGCTCCTGCCCCCCTCCCGCTACCCCCCCGCCACTCCAAACAAACGCTGACGATGCCCCCGCCTTCTGGAACAAAACCAAGACCTGTTGATACACGGTTTAGACGCAAATGAGTGTAGTGAGCTGATCTCTTGCCAATAGATACTTATGAGTAGGGTAACCAACTTTGATAAGGTGCTTGAAGCTGAAAAATAAGCAGTCACACAGCGTAAATTAAAGATTTTGATTCCTCCTAAATGTTGGAAGGAAAATTCCTCTGGAAAAGTTACGGGTCGTAGCCACACTAAAATAGATAGAGACACCGATACAGAGATAGATGATATTTTATTGCGCGGAATAAAATAATTAGAATCACTATGTGAATATACATTTATACTATTTTTTTTTAATTCTGAAAACAAACTGTGATATTAAATCTAATACATAATATTGTAACGATAACTGTTCACCTTTTACATGCTTTCACTTATTATTTCGTAACACTTCTGTATTAATTAATTATTTATTGTAAGGGAACCGACTATAGCCAAAAGTCGAATACGAATGTTGTTGGATTTGAAAATGTCCGGAAAATCAGTGAGCTGATTAAAAGCTTTTCTCGATATAATAAAATACGAGTTTTGACTATAATTTGTATAACTGCCACTATAACTTTTTGTATCATGGTTTTGAAATAAAAAGAATTTAACTCGTTCTTTAGTATAATTTTGATTTTTACTGTGCATAACCATTTAATGTCTCTAGGGAAAGCTCTAATTGCCACTACATCATTGTTAGATATCATGTAACGATAGAGTTTAACTTGACCGTGTAACTTTACACGTTTTCTCTAGGATAAGTCCAGAAGGACTGAAACGGATGGTAAACCTATTTTGGAGACAGTGTGAGAAGCATGTTTTTTTGGGGCATCTGAAAATTGCTCTCTGCCAATTCGTAGTTTTGCTGCTCCATTGAATGGATGTAACAGATAATTTAAATGAAATAATAGAGAATTTTTAGTTATCTTAATATGTGAAGATTTAAGAAATAGAAATGTGTTCACAACATTTTTGGGCCCATGTTGTAAACTCACAATCTTGGCAATCTTTTTTGTAAAACTGAATTTAACTGCCATATACATACGTGAACTTCAAATTTTCTCTAGAACCAATTGCAATGTTTAATTTATATAGTATGTAACTGCAAAACAAAATAGACTCTCCAATATATAAAAAGGATTCTAATAAGATTGTCAAGCTAGCTAAGTTAGTCCAACTTGAATATAAGTCCTATTGGATAAGTCAAAAGCGATATGTTTGTCTTAAACAATTTCTTATAAGAAAATTTTGGTCAAGAATATGTGGTCGCAAAATAGAATTTGCATTGTAGGTTATTCAAGGTTATAAGATAAGTCTATCAATGTTATACCATACAGCACAACAGCGAACATCAGAATGTATTTAAGACTATATATTCCTAAATATGTATGTATTTCAATTGTGAAAGTTCAGAGTTACCTCTTCTGGTGAATTAGTTATCCTATCAGCATTTTCATCATCAGACGTTTCTAGACCAAAACTGTTGGAGAAAAGCATATTCCTCGGATATAAGGAGTAGCAATCGGCAACATTACGCCTTCTCTTACCAAGACTCGCCAGAAAACTTTTGTAAAGTTGCGTTGGTAGAAGGAAAGGTGATCTGTTCTGAAATCCATCTTTGAATGTTAAATTTTGATTCCTAAACGGATTCCCGAAGTCAAACTCCGGTAAAAACTCTTTTTTGATAAATTCGGCAACCGGCTGTAGAGTCAAAGTATTTTCCGTGTAATCTAAAGCTGTTCCTCCGTCATCATTAAGACCGTTATTTTCTAAATCACTGATCTCAGAATTGGCATCGCTAGAATTATTGCTGTCGTTCTGATCGATTTTCTCCTCATTTCCTTCAGTATACTCTTCAAATTCCCTCTTCATTTGTAAATTCATCGGGTTCTTCATGTAGTTTGTGTTGGTCAACGTCACCGACATTGTCGTGTTGGCACTTTTCTTTCATAAATATATTCTCACTAACTATAAGACTATTTTTATTTATGTTCTTATAATTTCGAAATTAAATAAATATATCTTCGTCGTAAAAGTTATGTAGGTATTATTAGGAACTATCGTTGGATTGGGAGGCGTCTGGACCGCAGCTAATGAAATAAGCTTTATTTCTGTATGCTCTGTCTTATTTTCATTCACCATCCGTTATTTGTTATAGTTTGTAAAATTATCCAAATTTTATTTTAAATATTAATTTATTTATAAGAAAATTCCTGTGTTAAGTTTATATTTTGTGATCAGTGATTTTGAATTAACCGTTTTGGCAATTCTAAGATTCGGTATAATTAATATTTGATATTATTTGTAAATATTTTTACTATTTCAAACCTTGCAGATGAATAAAAGTGGAATATTCGGTCAGTTGCACAAACATCCATTAAGGCCTAATGACGCCTTTAAGCTCTAATGACTATCAAATTTGTATGGGTAATGTAACTTTAAACTAATGAAATTTTTAATGGACGTTTGTGCAACTGGCCGAATGTCTGATAAATAAATAATTAGCCTTTATACTGGCACTAAGAAATTTTCGCTAAAATGATTGATATTATACAGGAATTAAAGCCTATGAGGGCGTTCATTTGTATGAGTTTACGTTTTTACTACAAAAATAATAATATGCAAAAGCTGGTCATAACTTAATAATATGAAAATCCTGAGAAAGGTATCAAAATCTATAAATTGAATAAAGCAGTTAAGTGGCGAGGTATTTTTATCTGGATATAGGTCACAGAGTTCAGATATTCCATTACTCTCTCATATTTAAGAACAGACGTGTCTACGTTAATTTCAGACCTAAATGACCTAGTTTGATAATTTTAGAAATAGTTTTTTTTAAAGAGTGAGATATAAAAATCAAATATCTTTAATGTTACTCTGCGGATGGATGAATTTTGAATTGTTTAATATTAATTTTGAAATTTTCAACAATACTTTTCTTTTTCAGAATAATATTAATGCCAATTTTAACATAATGTAATATATATATATAAATAAATAAAACTAAAACCGAGAAATATAAAATTAAATGCAAAGACCCTTATCATTTCATTTTACAAAGAACGACAAATTTTAACTGTATTGATTCATTAAACTGATACATCTTTTGCGTTGGTCTAGGTTTGATGCAAAATGAATATGCCACTTAAATCGTAGTTGCGAGACTACTGACCCCTAAAGTGTCTGAAAAATAGGTCAATATTGCCCTTTTTGTGAGTCTGGCAACTACTATTTAGATTACTGACGAGGGACGACGAAGCTAGATGATTTAAGATAAAAATATAATAAATATAAGTTTGAAATTCCAATTTTAAACTTTGTTCGAATAATATAATGCTTAATATATTAAAAAGACCAAAATTAATAAGTATTTGATTATTCCAATAAGATTCCACTTAGAACTGTAATAGTGAAGACAGATACTAATTAAAATAAAAGAAGAATGATAAAAATAAAATAGAATATACATAACAATAAAAAACGTTAACTGCTCGTTAACTTTTCCCGCGGTGAGGTCGAGAAAAAGCTGTTACAATTTCCGTGTTTTTTGTTTAGCCATTTTAAGTAGAACCCTTTTGTGTTTAAAATGCTTACTAAATAGAGACCGAGCTTGATTTTCCGGGTTTATGTAACGTATTTTGATTAAAAATCTCAAACTTTCAGTAATGTTATCTTTATTTACTTTAAAGTAGTGATTATTTAAAAATGCTTTGAGAATATAAAAATTTGAAATAGAGAATTTAATATCATATAATAAAAATCACTGAACAACTTTACATTACTTTTAAAATATTTCAATTAATCTTCTTTGGTAGCGTGAAAGTAAAACAAATCAATGAATCGATTTCCTCTGTCCAATTATTGAGTATAATAGCGAGTAAATAGATAATTAGTTATGCGTTATAATCATGTCAACCTTTTCGCGGTAAAGTTGAATTAAAAAGGCGGACGCCATATTTTTTCACACATTTGTACAAAGGACAACGGACGCACACAAACACAAGCTCATTAGCAACACATTTACATCACTGATCCGAGCACGTGTTCCGACTTAACTAACAACTTAGCAACGAAAACTTCCAATTAAGAAAAACCCATAAAAGAATTAATTATTAGTTTTTAACCTATCTTTTGATTCTTTGGATTAAATTCTCTTTTTTACGCGGTTTTTGTCTTAGAACGCTTTCACTGGAATGCATTTTTTACATTACTGGACGGATGGCGAATGACTTTTTTAGTAATCACGGTGCGCATAACCGATCGATTAGTGAGTTATTTCGGACAAAAAAATATTTTGTATTTTTTATCTTGACGATATAGTGATATTGTTTAAGCACTTTTTGTTATTTTTGTTTAAAATACGGAACGACTAGAAAGACTAGTTTACCGCGAGGTATCCGCTATGAAACTCTTCCCGTAAGGTTGGTGCAAGGAAAAGCATTTTTCCAATACATGGAAGGTTTTCTTGAGGCTTCGATGTGTGAGTACATGCACGTATAAGTGCATACGTCTGCTCGTCAGACGAACGGCGCCAGAAAGCTGTGTGTGTGAATATCGTTGTGGTAGTATTTTATGACTCAGAGTGCATCCCTTTCGAACTGCATGCGATTTATATGTGTGCGAGCTGTTTTTTTTTTTACCAACGAATCTTAGCAACGTGTGCGTGGGCGAATTTCCCGCGTGTGTGCACTGTTTTCACACGAAACAACGAACCTTTTTGAACTTTATCTTTTAACGAATAGAGTTGATATTGGTAAAGATCCTGAAAATGTATTTTTCAGTTTTATATCGCCGATATGAGAATCGCGGATACCAAGGAAAATGCGAGAAGAATAAAAAAAATGCATCGTAGATTTTCAGGTAGACACATTTTTCTTTAACCCATTTATAGACGTGTGGCCGTGTGTGTTGCATCTGGGAGTTGGGGGGTAGCATAGAAAGGGTTGAAGGGGACAGGGAAGGGGAGGGACATATAAAAATGATAACGCATCGCGAGACGGCTCCTTTTATGGTTTTTCTTTATTTTTTATGTTTTATATTTTTATTGCATGAACGGCGGCGGTGTTTGCTGAAGTGTGTTTTTAAAGCAAAAGATTATCCTTACATTTTGATAAAATTATAATCAAAACGCGTTTATAATTCTATTTTCAAATAACATGTATATATATATGTGAATCGCCAAAAAGTATGTAAACACATAACTTTCAAACGACTTCACCAAATTGTGTTGTCAGGACAAGATTCATTTAAGTATATGAAAATACATAAAAAGACATAATTTATTAAAAAACGGGCAAATGTTACTAAGTTCGGAATATATATATTTATCTACCTACCTACCATTATTTGTTTAAATTCGTTTTACCCTATTATATTTAACAAATAGGTCAGATAGTTTTATCTGACACAAATTCGAAAATAATACAAACCTATTTCGAGTTACGAGACCAACTAACGATAAAAAAGAGCGAAACATTTTTAGATGGAATGATATTGGTAACATTTGATTCGTTATTTGAAAATAGATTTTGACTGATTATGTTATAATTTTTATGTTTTTTTTTTATAAAAAGTATCATAATACCTGGACAAATATATAATGTTAGAACTTCAAAAAGTCACCATTTTGTACCTAATAATCTATTTTTGTAAGTACAAAATCGCTTAAGATGGCTTATTTCAACGTGTTTGCCAAGGCCTCGGTAGCGCAGTAGGCAGCGCGTAAGTCTCATAATCTTAAGGTCGTGAGTTCGATCCTCACCCGGGGCATTTCTTTTGACATATAAAAGAATATTGTCATTTTTTGCATTACCAAATTTTCTTCGATAAAGATTAATTAATCACGAATATTCGAATCAGGGTTTGAAGATTTTTTTTTTAATATTGTATTGTTAAATAACTTACCTACGTGGTTACGGTAGAAACCACCGAATTTTACAGTTTATGAGATTTGTACCGTTCAATAATTCCTGCGGCGGACTTAAAACCCGCTGTTTCGTTGAAGTAGTATGTTGCTCCACTGTTTTGGCATAAGTTTTGTTTTAGAATAGCATCAAAAACTATTATAATTGATTGTTACGAGTTCTTTTGTAGTGAAAATATAATCATCTGTTACCAGTTATCTTTTAAAAATACAAAAAATTACGTATGAGCGAAAATATAAATAAAAAATGTCAAGTAAATTATGTTAATTAAAATACTAGCTCCCACGAACTTGCCCGCGTAAATTATAGTTATATATATAGCCTAAGTTACCCACGTACGATGTAGCTACAAATTTTTAAAATAATTTATTCAGTAGTTTCAGAGTCTATTCGATGCAAAAAAAACAATCTTGTCTTTCCTATTTATAATATTCAAACATATAATATAGATGAATGAAGATTTAAGATTAAGTGTACAATTCTTATTTTAAATGTGCATGTTTCAGAAGTAGGAATACCAATAAGAAAAAGGTATGTCGCATCATCATTACGAAGATCGTTTGATTTAGTTTCTTTTATTTTAATTGCTAGTTATTCGATTACTTAATTACTCGATTGTAAAGAGAGCGTGATCATCGATACTTTTAATTTTATTAAAATGGTGACACTGACTTTGACAGTTCGTTTATAAAAACCAAGTTGCCGCCATTTTGGCACACATTCTGTTTCCGATCGCCGAGGAGTAAAGACATCTGACGACATCACGCTCATCTCGTTATATTTTCATGTGAAAAATGATAAAATGTAACAAATCCACGTTGGTATTCACGCCTGCAATGTTATTTTAAAGATAGTCCCCTGATATGGACAATCTATTTGGGCTTCGTAATAGCCCCTTCGGACTACCCGCCGTTAGGTACAAATAGTAAAAAAACATTTTCTTAGGTTCATGTCGCCAGGATGGCAATTTTTACTGTATTTTCAACCCACTTTTGTTTTTAA